GTTCGATTCATATTTGGTTCGAGCGAGATTCGATTTAGTTCAATAGTGCACCCCTAACGGTTTAGTTCGGTTCGATTCTTCAAGAAAATCGAATCGAACTTGAACCATTTACACCCCTGGTTAACACCATACCTTCGAGAGAGCTTCGCTTGCGAGGATCTTCATGTTGCCCGAGCCGCCCGTGTACGACGTGACTATTTGGACTCTGCTACTCCACAAGGCCAGAGATGGTGACCTTTTAAATAGGAAAGGAACGGTGAGGATGTCGAGAGAGACCGGGGGTTGGCTCTCGTGCCCCCTCGTGATTGGTTGTTCGCACGTGCATTCACCGGTCAAACCCTCCGTCTCTCTCTCTTCTTGGTAGAAATTCAGAAAGCTCTCCTGTCTGTTAGTGTAATTATGCAAGTAATGATAGAACCTCCGAAGGCGTGAGCAGAATGCACGATCGTGCACTGTTCCGACGTGAATCTGAAGTCATTTGGTCGAAAGAATATAGGGACAATTTCATCGACATTCCTGCAAAATTGTTAAAGAAATTGTCGAGATAGTGTACTCGAGTCTTCTGAAACTTGGTACTAAAAATGCAATTGAGGAATTTTCGTGATATCCGTCTGTTTTTTGTGAATGGAAAGTCTACATGGCGCTTCGTTTTTCCTTTTCCCATCTTAGGCAAACCTCATGAAAAGGCCGAAATACAACCATCCTCGATCAACCATCAAACTCCATGTATCATTTTAACCAAGATAAAAATAGGAAGGGTGAATAGCATTGGGCGACTGCCTTTGAGTGCTATCATAGGAGTTCCATGGCTTCAACAGAATGTTTAGTCGGAGTCATAATTACTGTTCATTTTGAGCGAACCCGTCATTGCCGTCCCACCAAGGCCCTAATAGAAATAGAGCCGAAGTCATCCTATGTCGAGACACGATCGAAACGACAAGTAGACAAATCGAAGCTTCCCCGGGCTCTCCTTTAAATACTTATTTGAACCATGAAATGTCAAACCCACGAGCTATCAAATAAGTTATTGCACGGTCTACGGTTAATGTAAATCAAACCCATCTCAATCTTTGATCACGGGCTTGGTCTACATGTATCACATGGTTACTTTTTCGAGTTGAAGGAATACCCACCATTCCTTAGTTCTTCCGAATGTCCGTCTCTAGGGTCCGTTTGAACGACGGATACATTTATTGTCCCCACGAGGGAGAAGAAAGAACCAATCTCCTCGCAACAGCATAGTATAAAGAAGAGTTCGTGTAGAATCGAGCACATTAAGAAAAACATTTGATGCCCGTAATGCAATTGTTACAGATTTCAAAAGCCCAAGTAGCTGTGAAATGTTAGGCCGTGAGCTTGCACACAGCTGGACCTCCAAAAACTACGTCGCATCAAGAGATTCGCCCAAGCTCTCGAATGTTACGTGGAGGGACAATTACGAAACAAGCGTGTCAGCTCATGTGGGCCTCACTCGGTCACTCGCCGTCGGATACCGTAGGCCATTTGGTGACTGCCGGTTGGTGCCTTTGTTATTAATGTTAGTGGTCTGCCCTAAGAATCAATCAAGGTTGATACTCTAATATTAGTTGTGGATTAGGTTGTGTCGGAAAACCGATCTTCACTATACTTAGGTAGTCATAATGTGTTGCTAGAGACCGCTTATGACTTGTGGGCCAAAAAGAGTTTTGGGCACACTTTGCTAATGTTTAGTGAACCTGCAGGGTCACACACAATAGCGAACGGACTTAATATTGTCTATGCGCCTTGATCTACTTAAGAAGTAGATTTTAATTTATTATCCTATTTAAATTATCTATGCGGTCGTGCGCGTTATGAGATAACGATTAAACGTACGATTGAAGGTGGACGGTTTGGCGGGCCCAAATAGCCGCCCACTTCTTTTAATTCCGCTAGATAATGAGGTGTATAAATAGATAGAGAATCGTTCTCTGTCTAGGGTTTTTTCGATAGAGTATCGAAAATCAAAAGGCGTTCAAGAAAAAGGAACTTCAAGATCTTTCGCTAGCACGTGGATCGTTGGAGAATTCCGTTCGTGTGTGTGGATATCGGTAGAGGCGCAATACTTGGGGCGCTAATCCAGACACAATCGGTTGCCGATTTATCTTCGATTTGCAAAAGGTACGTATCGAACTTCCGTCTCGATTTCAATATACACATGGATCCTGTCTAGGGTTCTGTATTCCGCTGCGTTGTTTTCGTTGATGAACCCTACAATTAAGTGGGTCGGATTTGGGTCTCGTGGAAACCCATTAAAGACCCCAATCACATAGAGCTAGAATATTTTAGACCCACTTACACTCCGTCCTTTAAATGTTTAAATACCCATATATAAAATAATCTTGAATATGTGAGCAAAGAATTGGGCACATGACCCATTTTGACACCTCTAATGGGTGTCGGTGATGAAGTGATGTTACCTTAACCTCTATTGCCCCCCGTGCAATTAATCTCACATTGCTTCGTTGATTGGTAAGTTATACCACATGCCTCCTCGAGCACGCAAGAGTGGGGACATAGATAATCGCGCTGTCCCCTTTTTAAGTTGGTTGCTATTGAAAAAGACACGAAAACTCATGTTAAGAATTGCAAAGCTTCTTCTACAATAAACTCATTACATTATGCTTGAATCATGGATCTGAATATGTACATTAGTCTCGGGCCAACCTAGGAACCGAACTAGTTGGTTTTGGGTGGTTCTTGGGGGTTGATTTGGTTCTCGGTTCCATGAAAGGAACTAGACCGACTGACTGCCTGGACCAACCAAAATTTCTTAATTTTTTTTTTATTTTGAAGCAACCTCTAATTAGTAAGTTACTTTTTTCTTTTTTAGCCTCGTTCGTTTGGCGGAAAATATTCTCCTTTGGAAAATATTTTCCCGGAAGTCATTTTCCGGAAAATGACTTCTTAATATAATTTTCCGGTGTTCGGCGATCAATATGAAAAAGTTTCGGAAAATATTTTCACCGGCGACCGCGGCGGTGGCGGCCGCGCGACCGGCGGCGGCGGGCGGCCAACAGTGGTGACCGGCGATCAACTTCCTCTCCCACGGAAAATATTTTCCTCCAATGGGCAATTTTGCCTTCACTTTGAGGAAAATGATTTCCTCTTTGTGAAAAGAGGAAATCATTTTCCTCAAAACAATGAAGGATTTGGGGGGGGGAAGGAAAAATGTTTTCCCACGAAAACATTTTTCGCCCGAATGTAATGACCAATTTCGATGTTGAACCTGTCTAACCCGGCAGGTCGAGAATTGTATGATTATGGTTGTGTTATGATTTTAAATGTTTGTTTCCTGGCCGAGATTGCATGCTAGCCTAGCTAGGTTTAGGGGTTGAACTCATTGAGATTCGTCTCACGGGTGTAAACCGAAACATTTGCACCCCCAACAGAATGTCGAGGGCATCACCTCTTTTTGGGAATACCGCCTTTTATCCAAAATAAGCCGTCGAGCATGCACTCCTGCTGGGAATGGAGCCAGGTAACGTAGAAGTGACTGTTTGGGTTATTCCATGACTGTCAGTGTTTCCTTTTGGTTGTCGTGAACACCAGAAAAGAGTTTTAAAATAGTAATATAAGTATGTACATATTTTCCGCGTTGAATCTTGTTTATTGGACTAGCTATCCTTGGCTCATATTGTAATTGTCTCGGGTTTGTTTATTTTATACTTCCGCTTGTGCTTGATCTCTGTATGTGGGGTCGGCGACTCTTCCCGGACGTCGCAATTTATCGACCGAAGGTGGATGCTCAGCTTCGTGGGGTAATGGGCGTGACACCGAACACTCTGAAAACGCGGAAAATATTTTCCGAAAAATATTTTTCCGCAAAACGAACACAACCTTAATATTGGGAAACTCTCAATTGTAGATAATAGAAGAAATCAAAAAAAAAAGAAGAAGAAGAAGAAGTATTGCGAATGGTAACCATTCCGCTTCGTAAATCAAATTCTGCCGTAATTGATTTCCGAATTCTTGCTTGAAATTGATTTTGGATGAGAAATCATTTGGTAAAACACGAATTCCTCGCTTTAGGAAGAATCGATTTTGAATGTAACTGCTTGATTTGTTGATTTTTTTGCACCTAAAAATTTAAATTTTACTCAAAGTGGGTGGCCACATGTATTATAAGCCATTCAGAAAGTTTTGAAATTTTTGATTTTTTAAATTTTTTTAAGCACCTAAAAAATTTAAATTTCACTCAAAGTGCACACACAAGTGATTCTGGCCATTTTCATGAAGTTTTGAATTTTTTTATTTTTTATTTTTTTTTGGCACCTAAAAAATTTAAATTTCACTCAAAGTGGGTGCATACGATATTCTGTGTCATTCTAAGTAAGCTTTTGAAATTTTGATTTTTTTATTTTTTAAAAAAATTCACCAAATTTCATATTTTCCCGAAATCGACTTTTTTTATTTTCTGGAAATTTTTATGAATTTTTCAATTTTTATGCATTTTTTGAAAAAAAAAAATTGTGAGAAAATAGGAGAATGTATTCCGAATCGCAAGCCTACAAAAAGTAGCCTTCTTCTTTTTCGCCAAAACTCATTTCGAATCAAAAATGCATTCCGGAATCAAACGTATTCTGCAAGAGTATTTTTAACAAACGCATTTTTATTCCGCACGCAAAATCGCCCTTAACGTATTCTAAATTTTTTAACAAACGACTTTCCGAATGCATTCCTGAATGTAATTTTTATTCTGGAATGCATTCCATGTGCACCCTAAGAAATCATCGGTTCCCAAACCAACCCTAGAATTGACCGGTGTATAGTCCAAGATCAAGTGCTGCCTTTCCCATTTCGATTTCAGCAGGTAACCGATTCATTCTAAAATCCGATCACCCTTAATCTGAATAGCTTCTCCACCAAAGCCCTAACGTTTGGGCCATTAAGCCCATTTAAAGAAAGAGATTAAACCTAGCCCAATTTCCAAAAAAGGCCCTTTGAAACTAGGGTTTCATCTCTGGCAAAGATTTCTCCTCTTCTTCTTCCTCTTTTGTCTTTGAGGCAGAATCGAACCTCCTCTAGGCCGCTCTGCAGCAGCGGAAGCTCACGAAGCAAGAAGAGCACTTTCGTCAGGGCACGCGCATCAGACACCCACCATGGTTGGTTGCGTTCGACCCCTTCTTCTTCCTTTGAGAATTCATCTCGCGAATGATCCTTTCTGAGCGAATTGTTTGTTGCCCGTTTGATACCCCCCGCAGGTGAAGTACTCCAGAGAGCCCGACAACCCCACCAAGTGTAAGCTTCAGCTCGATATCTTCTTTTTCAGCTCGTAGAAGTTCAGATTTTGTCCGGTGTTGTATGGTCGTTTATCAGATAATGTCTTGGATCTAACGATGTCCCCGAACATGTTTCCGCAGCTTGCAAGGCTAGGGGCTCTGATCTCAGGGTTCATTTCAAGGTAACATTTTTGTGCAGTGCTTTTTTCATGGCGATTTATCTGTTATTGTCGGTAGATGTTTCGTTACAATTGCATTACTCTTGCGTGGAGAATCTGTGGGGAAGCCTTCAAAATTCAAGTGGAAACAGGGGCTAACTTTTGAGTGACTCTCTGTAGCTATTTTAGCGATAAAGATTCAGTATTTGATGGCACATGGAACGCGTGGATGGATTTATCTGATTTAGGGATGTAGGGAAGGGCGTATAAGGAGATCTTTCATTTTGCCTACATAGGCAACGCGGCTGTCTCTTGAGTCTAGTGCGAGGAATTCTACTTTTTCCTCCGGCTATTGTCCAAATCTTAGCCGCGGTCGCCAGGGAATTTGACTGCCTACGTGCGTGCCGTTAACACTTATAGAACCCATCTTTTGGCAGCTCAATGAATTCAACTCGGCACACACAGATGTAATGATTTAATTAGTCCTGTAAGTGCGCAGTGTGACTTTCCGTGCACACGAGAGAGCGAAGGGTAGTGCGTAGAGTTCTTTCATTTGCCTCAATAGGAGGTGTCTCTTGAGCCTCGTGTGAGCATCCAGTGATTGTTCAAAGGCTAGCCGCCACTAGGGAATTTTCCAACATTCTTGAGCTGAGCTGAGTGACTTGAGTTGACTTGCTTAATGAATTCAAATTTTTTTTTAACATCTATAAAATCGATCTTTTGGTAGCTTAATGAATTTAACTCTGGACACAGAGATGTATTGATCTAATTAGTCATGTAATTGCGCAATGTGGCTTTCCGTGCACATGAGAGAGTGAAGGGTTTACAGAGAGGTGGCTCTCGAGTCTCGTATGAGTATTTCTAATCTAGCATCCAGTGATTGTACGAAGGTTCGCTGCCACCAGAATTTGCAACATTCTTGAGTTGAGTTGAAGTTGCTTAATTAACTTAAATTCTTCTGTTATCACCTATGAAATCCATCTTTTGGTAGCTTCACACTCAAGCAAGTTATGCCTTAGTGCTGCACTAGTATTGAATATGTTTTTGTGAATTTTATTATTTTTCAGAACACACGAGAGACGGCCTTTGCAATAAGAAAGCTGTCTTTGGCCAAAGCGAAGAGGTACCTGGAGGATGTGCTGGTGCACAAACAAGCAATACCGTTCCGACGATTTTGCCGCGGTGTCGGAAGGACTGCTCAGGCGAAAAACAGGCACTCTAATGGGCAAGGGCGGTGGCCGGTGAAATCAGCTAGATTCATTCTTGATTTGTTGAAGAATGCCGAGAGTAACGCCGAAGTATGTCGTCACAAACTTTCGTCCTCATGATTGGGGTTTTATTTGTTCTGCTATACTAATAGAACCCGTCTAATTTTGCATCAGGTGAAGGGTTTGGACGTCGATGCGCTCTATGTATCTCATATCCAGGTGAACCAGGCTCAGAAGCAAAGGCGCCGCACCTACAGGGCTCACGGAAGAATCAACCGTATGTTATCAGACGTTGTGCCCTTGTCACTGTCGTCTTCATTCTACTATTGCTAATGTTATCTCGTTTCATTTTTGACAGCGTACATGTCATCTCCTTGCCACATCGAGTTGATTTTGTCAGAAAAGGAAGAACCCGTGAGGAAAGAGGTAGAGTCTGTGGTTCCATCTTTTACTATGCCAACGGCATAAGTTGCCCTGTCTAGTCATTTTCTTAGATGCAATGTTGGTCTTGCAGCCGGAGACTCAGTTGGCAACCAGCAAATCTAAGAAGTCGCAAGCTTGAGGCGGCAGTTCTTCCTCTCAGGAAAACTCTTTCGATAGACGGACCTCGTTTTTTCATTTGAACTATTTGCCATGGTAGTATTCAGGAGATTTGTCGTCACCTTTTGGTACGAGAGGTACTCTTTTTTCCCCATACGTAGTATGTCTTAGTCCTCAGGGCTTGCTCGATTGAATATTTTCCGGGTTCTTGGTCAGGACAGTCCAGCGAGCTATGTATGTGTTCAGGGTCCTCCAAACTAAATTGTTTCCTCAAATCAAAATCAGCATCGCTGTTTTCTTCACTAATCATCGACACATGGAATTTACTTTGCGCTCGCACATCGATACCCTTTGATCGTCGAAGAAGGTAGTTACGAAAACTGGCGCTCACATGTTAATCCGGCAATTCCCGAAGTGTAAAGTAGATATTGCATTTTGCCTCCACAGGCAATGAGGCGTCTCTTGATTTCTATTCAATGTTTTTTTTACATTGGTTAATTAGTATCATCGTATCAATACCACGACCATGAGATATGTTTCGATTTTCGGGTGATGATGCGTGGAATAAAGTTTGGACATCCTCGGGATTTATTCTCACATAATTGAAAAGTCGGTCGATTACAAATACAGTGGAACTTTTTGCTACTTCCCAAGTAACTCTCGGGAACAAATCAGGTATGAAATTCTCCCTCGTGGCCTCCTATTTTCGGACCGTTTTCCATGGGAATCGGATCGGACCGGCACAATGCGAAGGCGGCTTCTAATAGAGGCGCCTGCAGAGCGTGAGGCCATCTCCGACGGTAAGAAGACAGCACTCGATGCGCGGATCGTTTGCCAAGAAGCTATTGAACTCCCTGAGGTGGCCTCTCCCGACCCTCAGGCGGTCCACCATCTCATCGTCTTCAGAGAACGCGACCGCACCGAACCACAGAGTGTCGTCGTACCCGATCACTCCTCCGACCTTCACCAGCTTGAGCACTAGCTCGTGGTATTTGATGTAGTCGTCCTTCTTGCAATCCACAAAAGCAAAATCATAGGTCCCCTCTTCTTGGCCCTACGTACAATTACATGCACAAACTATTCATATTATTATTTTTGAGTTAGGTAGCTAATAATACGTTCACAATATTTTATTTTTCACCTACTTGTCTTTGTTTTGTTATAAATTAAAAGGTATGCTATTATTGACCGACAACTATCCCATCAAATCGGGTGGTTTCCCCACTTGCTATCATCATTCATCCAATAGTACTAGATCAATCAATTATTGTTACTTGGGACCGACAACATTTCCAAATAATTTAGGACCACGTTATCAAACTTCAAATTTTCGTCAAAGATTACAGATTCGAGATAGATATTTGACACGCATGCCCTTACGTCTGCGACGAGGTCGTTGAGAACTAAGAAGGCATCCGATTGGATGAAGTTGATCTTATGGTCCACTCCGGCTTTGCGAATAAATGGCAAGCCCGTTTCGTAGGCCTCCTTGTCCCGATCTATCGCTATTATCTGCATAAGGAGAGATTAACTCGTTTCATTACAAAACCAATTTCCATCGCAATAAAAACAAATTAAAATACTTATAGAGTCAAACTCAATTGGAATTGTCATTTTATTACCTTGCCGTCGGCCGGAAGTGCAAGCGCGGTGGTGAGGAGAGAATAGCCGGTGAAGACTCCGATCTCGATCGTCTTCTTCGCATTCATGAGCTTCAACATCATGGAGATTAGCTGCCCCTCATCAGCCGGCACATTCATTATACTCCTGCAGGAAACATTAGCAAACCAGTTCGATTTGATTATTCAGAATTCGACACCAATCAATGAGCTTGTGCTTATGTGCAATGTATGTTACATATGGGGCGTCGCGCGTCACGTCCTCAACCGACGTGCCATGAAGATATGCAACACGAAATGAATGACGTGCCTCTTTGGAAGATCTAATACACCCTTTTAAATTTGTGACTTTGACACGAATTGAGAGAATTACAAAAAAAGTTCTAAATCTATTGCAATTGTACCAATTAAGTCATAAACCTTTTTTTTTTCTAATTGAGTCCTAAACCTTTTGCATTTGTGCCAATTTCGTCCATCCGACAAATTTTGACCAGAAATCGCTGACATAAACGCCAACCGTCCTACATGATGTGGGCGGTGTTCATTGGACATTTTTAAATAATATTTTAATAATTTTTGGATTTTTTTGTCTTTCTTTTTTTCTTCCCTACTTCCTCTAGCTGGTGGCCGAACCTCGACAACCGGTTAGAGGCAATGGAAAGCCTCGCCAGTGGCCGAGAGACGCTCGCCCTCGTAGCCGCTGCCAGTGGTTGGGAGAGGCTTTCCCTCACCAATGGCCAGCAAGGTCTCTCGCCTCTAGCCGGTCACCGAGGTCCGCTCACCGGCTAAAGGAAGAAGGGAAAAAAAAGAAAAGAAAGAGAAAGAAAAAGAAAAAGAAATTGAAAATTTGTTAAAATATTATTTAAAAATGTCAACGTTAGAGCTGGCCACGCCACGTAGGATGGCCGGCATCCATATCAATAATTTCAGGCCAAAATTCATATGATGGACTGAATTTGCACAAATGCAAAATGTTTATGACTCAATTAAAAAAAAGATTTAGAACTGAATTGACACAATTATAATAAATTTATGACTTTTTTGGTAATTTTCCCGACATGAATTCCAACGCAATCATAGGCGACATGTTGGTGGGTATTATATATCACATTAGCCGACGACGTTAAACAATGACTACAACACCTTGTCGGAAACTGGAAATCTTCGGTTCGATAACAAAGATTAAAATGAAAAATAAAAAATAAAAACTGAATCTTCCGTTAGGTAAAACACACGGGTAGATTAGAAGCCTAATGCTATAATTTCATCAGAAGCTATCTGGCTGGTGAGAATAAATAACTATTATAAATCCAAGTAATTACCGGATTTGGTACTTCTGAACGGTGGCCTCTCTGAGTTCTTTCAGCTGCTCGAGCTCTCTCGGATATGCATTTGTTTCCAGTATGTACTGCAACATCAACACACCACACAAAAATCCACATAATCCTCTCACTTAGGGAGAGAGAGAGAGAGAGAGAGATCTCAATTTCCTTTGCAAATTTGAATGATAATGTAACTTCGAGTTAGTTTAGTTACCTCTACAATTTTCACCGATTAACTCGTATAAACTTGCACTATTTCACCTTCTTATCACGGAATGTTATCTCTTTTTTTGCACCCAATCTTATACTAACTATAAATCGGTGCATATTCGTTTCCTCCAAAAACTTAAAATATGAAAAAATGACACGAAATGTGCTTTATATCTTTAAGAACGTGCACCATGAAGAAAGAGCCTCTGATGGCAATCTCGAGAGGAGTTTTGCAACTACTGTAAAATTGTCCAGCGATGACCTACTCCACCCAAAAACATATTTTCACGCTTTAGACTTAGGCCGAAGTCTCATGCGCAATCTTAAATTAGCTGAATCAAAGAACCGATGGTAAGAAGACACGCGATGCTGAGATGGTAACCCAAACCTTTGAGAGAGCTTCACTTGCCAGGATCTCGCACTTCTTCGAGCCTCCCATGTCAGATTCCAGACCTGTTTGGTTCAACTTTGAAAATGCTACTTGGGGAAATGCAAATACCTTTGGGTGAAAGCCCATTGGGAAAATGCAAATGGTGTTTGATAAAAATATTTTGTAAAGCTACTTTTGCCAAAATATAGTGTTTGGTGAATTTTTTTTACAAATGGACTTTGAGAATTATCTTATTTATTAAAAAAAAAACTAACCTACCCATCGCCGGAGCCGGCCGCCGCGCGAGATAGATCCGCGCCGGCGGCCGTCGCCCGAGGTCCGGGCGACCCCGGGCGAGCCGATCGCGCCGCTCGGCGGATCGCCCGAGGCCGGCGACCCTCGGCGGGGGTCGCACGACCCGGGCGACGGCCGCTGAGGTCGCACGACCCGGCGACGGCGCTGAGGTCGCACGACCTCGGCGACTGGCCACCGAGGTCGCCTAGGTCGCGCGACCCGGGCCGGTGGCGCCCGGGCGGTCGCGTGACCCAGTTGGCGGCGCTGGGCGGTCGTGCGACCTCCGGCGGCCGTCGCTGGGTATCGTGCGACCAAGCGCCGTCGCCGCTGGGTAGAGCGACCCCAGGCGGCGACGGCCTGGGTCGAACGACCCCAGCGACGACGTCGCCTGGGCGATCGCCCGACCCCAGGTGACCTCGTCGGCCCTTCTCCCTCGCCGGCCACCCTCGTCGGCCGCCCTCGCCGGATGCCTGGTGAAGAAGATGAACAGCTTCAAAAAAAATAAAAAAGAGACGTGAACAGTAGCATTCCAAATGCTAGCATTTGGCCAATGCTAGCATGAAAGCTGAACCAAACGGTTTAGCATTTTGGGAAGAGGCTTTCGAGGCCGAAAGCCCCTTCCCAAAGCTGAACCAAACAGACCCTACGTCTAACGAGACTCTACACCTCAAGGCCAGCGATTCTAATCTAACCTCCATATAGGAATCGTAAGCACTCGCAACCACTGGTCAAAGCCTACGTGCATCAGCTGGTTAAAAGTTGGTGTAATTATTAGGGGTGACCAAGATGGACTGCCCGAATCAGGATCGAACCAGACTGGACCGACCAATTTGGTCCGGTTCTCGGGAATATCGGTCCGGTTCCCGGTTCCTAAAAGTGGAATCGGTTTCCGAGCAGTCCGAGCAGTCCGGTTCCCGATTCTAAAGTGGGAACCGGACCAACCGGATATATATATATAAATATATATATATTTCTAATTTTTCCATATATAAATTTATTTACTTTTTAAAATTTTTGAAAAAAATAGAAAGCCTAATTTAATTTCCTCAATTCCCTTTCGCCTTTACCAATAAATGACTGGTCCCATTGAAACCGGACCAAACCGAACCCAACCATCGGTCCGGTCCGATTTATGGTCCCAGGATTAGCCGGTCTGGTCCCCGGTCCTAGAAACTGGGAATCGATCCTCCCAGTCCGATTCCCGGTTCTTGGGTTGGATTGAACCGGATCGGGAACCGATCACCCCTAATAATTATGCAGCAATGATTGAATCTCCGAAGGCAGGAGCCGAATGCTCGATCCGAGTGGCGTTACGCTTCTGCCCTTAAAGCGCAGGGGGGCTTCTTGTTCCCACTTCCATCCAACAAAGAGAGGAGACGAAGACGTGGGCTCTCTTGTTTCACTTCTATGGAACAAGGTTGCCACGGTGCGACTCGGTCCTGAAAAGGAAATTCTACGTGTGATTTTGTTTATGGTTGTCCTTGAAATGTAAGACCACACTTTCCTCACGCACTCTTCGAACACGAATTTAAAGTCATTGCTCGAAAAAACGATAGAGACAATTTCATCAAGAGTCCTGAAATTTTTTTTTAAAAAAAAATCGTCACGATAGTATACTTAGTTGGGAAAATCCCTTATGATGTTTTGAGGGTGACAAAACAATCAAAGGCTCCTATTATATGCATTGGTTGTGTAGAACCGGTTTATAGGATGCAGAGAGCAATATGCAGATGGAGACTAGAACAGGAATGTCTGAAGGCTATATTAGTGCTCTACTTCTACGGAAGGTTTACGAGATATTGGACGTGAAGGATGTCTAAACCTAGATGGACCTGTGTAAAAGGTGAACGAGCCGTAGAACGGGGGTTGGTTAAGGCTTGGATGGACCACTAGAAGGTGAAGATATTTGTAGAACCAAAAGACTTCCATGTGCTAGGAGGGACCGGTCTGTACAAGGTGAACAGTCAAATCACGCAGAAGCAGTTTCTGCTTCAGACATAGTAGAGCACATGATTCGTGCTTCTCCAATCCTAGATAAAGAAGACCCAGACCTTTTTCGAATTTGATTGGAATTCAATTGGACGTTTAATAACCACTTTCAAGCTCTGGAATTCGCAAAAAGAAACCTAGAGAACATCATATCAATTTCTACATTTTTGTGAAAGCATGTTAGAAGCAAAAAGCTAGCCCTATTTTTAGAATACTTCTGCTTCGTCCAGAGGCTGCACGCTAATCACACCTAAAGTAGGTCTATCGGCCAAAGATGCTGGTCCAGCGGCTCCTTAGACTCTAAAAAATGAAAAGGTTCCAGTTGATAGTTTGAAGATTGGACGCCTATTTAAAAAGAACAAAGGTGGCAGAAATTCAGAACTTCTATTCGCTCTATTGATTATACTCTCTAGCTTTTACTTGTGTAAAACTGTTTATTCTTTGATTGAGATTCTATGTGAGGGTCGTCTTGTAATCTGGGAAGAGAGAGGATTATAATGTGGTAAGAGGCGATTATATTCGTAGAGTTATCTCCCGAGCTTCGTGTAAAAGAAGCACCCTCTACATACAGTAAAATTTCTAAGATTACTAATAAATTCAAGCCTTGTTGGTGGCTGTCAATTTGGAAGAGTGGATCTAGACCAAGTAGAAGGCCGAACCACTATATATTTTGTCTTGCAATATCTTCTATTTGTTTAACTCATTTATTATCGGTCCAAAAAAAAACTCCTTTATTATCTACATTTGCATAATTTCTTTCCTTTTACAAAAGCATTTTCTCAAGAAAATATTGGGTAGAGCTATAATTCCAGCGTGGCAAAATCCGAGTCCATTCACCGGGAGACACGTGTTGCCCGAGCCCATTGCGTCGAATAAGAGAAAATATTCAAATGAAAAAGCAAGACTCTCTCTCCTCTCTCTACTTCGTGCGAACTTTTCACTCCCATATCTCTCTCTCTCTCCTGACTCACGCTCTGCGAACCACGGCATCGCCTCCGCCTCCGCCTCCGCCTCCGACGAACCACATTTCCTCCGCCGTCCGACGAACTATGTTGAACCACGCCGTCTCTTTGTCTCGACTCCCTCAGTTCTCTCCGTCTCTCTCGACTTACTCTGTCCTCGCCGTCTCCGCCTTCTGATGAACCACGCCCTGTTATATACCACGCTGACGCCGCCTCCGCCTCCGCCTCAAAAGGTATATATTTTCCTATATTTACTCCAAAATGTGTGTAATTTTGGGATATATTTTGAAGGGTTTTTTCTTCTTTTTACCGTTCTCTCTCTCGACTCGCTCTATTCTCTCCGCCTCTCTCTCAACTTGCATATATGTAAAATAAAATTCTAATCCTCCTACACTCTAGTAAGGGAAGGAAAAGAAAATATTTATTCTTGGTGATTTGAGAACCACTCAAGTTCTTGGGAATGGGAATTAAACAAACACTTTATGTTCCATATCGGTTCCACCTAGAACCTACTCATGATAATAGGTTCCTCATTTTTTAGAGCTTGGAACCTACCATATCACAGGTTCGAAGGTCAGTTCTAAGGTCTACCCAAGTTCCACTTATATCATTAATTGAATAATTATAGTGAATCATCATCTTTAATGACCACCACTTGCTGCTATGATCCACTGACCATAACTTATATTTAGACGCACGAAGAATATGAAACATTAACAAGTCATAAAATGAAAGCTCAGACTAGTAGTTCCAGATTATACACTCATCATCTAACACCATGAAACACCGCAGGATCACACAAAGACATAGATCAAGAAAAAGCATAAAAAACTCTTTTAGGTTTCAAGTTTCAGGTTCCACCTACCTAGAACCTGAAACCTACCCGTCGAAACAGGTTCTCCAATTTTTGGAATCTGGAACCTACCCGTCGAAACATGTTCTCCAATTTTGGAACCTGGAACCTACCTTGCATATCTTGAAACCTAAAACTTATAGGTTCCCACCGGTCAAGTTCTCAAGTTCCAGGTTTTACCCTGAAACCATGCTCACCCCTAAACATCACCTCTTGGACTTCGCCTTCTCGCCCTTTCTGTCCTCCATCCGATACCACCGCGGTTGCAGCAGTACTCTTCGAGGGAATTCATCGAGATTGCACTAGACACGACCCAAGAACTCATTTTTATTACTCTCTTTCACAAACACCTCCACAACCGAGGACTGTGTGTGAAATCCTTCGCAAAGGCAAAGTCTTGGTTTATTCGACACCATTCGATCTCGAACCCGAATCGACCCTCTTCGTGATTCCCCTTGTAACCGAGCTTTACCCCAGCCACCAACTCGCTGCTATCCCCGAACGGCGTAGAGACCTCCTTAGCCTTCACGACCTTCACATAAAGATACTGCTTTTGCTCAACGAGGCCATCGGTCGAGCTTGTCTTGTCCTTACCTCGTCTCTTTGAGCAAGAACTAGCTCAACCCACCGCCTAGAGTTCTCCAATGGTGATGGTGGTGCTTTTGTATGGAGTCAGGAAATGGCTGTGCAGAAATGAGCTTTGTATGGAGTCGAGAAAGGTTGGTCGGCCAATCTCCGCCGTCTCGTTAGAATCTAAAGCTGGCGACCACCACCAAGCTCACAATCAAAGCTCTCTTCTGGAACAAGCCCAAGCCCTCCCTTGAAGCTCCGAAACCCAGATTTGGAGGTCGACCTCAGATCCGGCGTAAATTTGAGGTCGCAACTTCCAAATTTGTATGAAGGTTGCTCATGGCGGAGTCAGAAGGAGCATAAGGAGAAAAAAGAAAATAAAAAGGAAAGAGAAAGAAAAAAGAAG